CATGGAGGCCGCGTTGGGTTGGCGTGGCCCATTTGTAACTGTACTTCCCAGTCTTCAAGATGAAGAAAGGCCGAGATGCATTTATGTAGCAGATTATGGACCAAGGAAAATAAAATTAAGTATATCCGACAACGATGGTCTCTCTCTCTCTCAATACGTGGGGGTGTCAAAATCGTATAAAAAGTAGGACAGGAGCTCAAGCCCTTAACATAAAAGCAAGGGCATTGATTTCCGGTTCTATTATAGTGTGATGCAAAGACCTTAAAAATTATATTAAGGTAGTTGCAGTCTTCTATATCCTTATAGAATTAGCACAGGAAAATTTTTTATAAGGGAAAAGTTTATATAAAATCAATGCTCTAAACAATTAAATTAGAGCCTACCTAAAAAAGTTTATTAAAAGAAGTTGTTTTGATGTTCAAATTGATCATCTCGACATCAAGATGCCTAAAACATAAGAAAAAAATGGATTTCAAGGATTGAAAATAGTATATTTTGTAACAGATTTTTGGACTGTCGATTTTCAAAAATTTCAAGTTGTCATAGATCTGTTAATCTACACTATTTTTTAAACTTTAAAATTTATAAATAAATATAAAAATATATTTTAAAGCTATCACAAAGATTTCGAGCATTAAAACTACATTTCTCAATACTATTGAAAGTAGGTTCTAATTTGATTGTTTAGTGCCTGGGCTCTATACAATCCCCACCCTATTAGCAATGACATGTGTATATATGACGTGATTTACAACCGTCAATAATGTGCATATGACAGCAGTTTTTCCATGAGGTTTAGTTACAAAATAGGCGCACCGCTACTCCCTAGTTTTCATTTTCTTTTTGAGCTTCCTTAAAATAAAAAGGAAAATGATATGACTATTTTTAGTGAGAGAAGTTCAAGGGTACGGATCATCAGGCTATGGATCAGACGTGGCCACCGGTCACGTCCTGTTGGATCCTAATTTCAACCCAAATAGTATTTAGATCCAAAATTTTGATCTATATCAGATTTGTCAAGTCTTGAGCCTAGTCAAATCCATTTTTGTCCAATAATTATGAATATTTTATTATTTTTTTTACATTTTTTTTGTCTACCATTATATACCCGATGATTTTTTTTATCAATAATAATGTAAATGTTATTAATATTATAATAATATGAATACTTAGTACGTGTCTAAAAACACATGATTGTCAACCCTATGATTACAGGTATTAGTCAGGCTGGACCTGAACCTAGATCCAAGTCTAAAATTTAGACTCATACCTAGACCCGACCTCAAGTCTATCGTCGTGATCGATTCTATTGCCACCCCGACCAATCATTTCACACTCCCAAGACCCATTCCTTGCATGTCGACATAGAAATGAAGTACATTGTATGTATGTGTGTGTGTGAGACACAAGAGAGAGAGAGAAGGGGGAGTTTTGAAGTGGGAGCAATGCATTTTTAGTTCATAAATGAAAATACTTGAAATCCGTGTATTGACAGTTTGACACTGTGCATCGAAGTACAATACAGCTAGGCTTTCCATATTTGAAGAGGAAAGTTTGATGCAAGAATGTAAATTCAAATTTGAAAAAACAAAAAGAAATATTAAAGTTGTGCATTCTGTTGCATTATAAATGCATCACATAAAGCTTTATTCGGATGTTCATATAATTATAAATAAAACGATGAGTTCGTATCAATATTTGACATTAATAAAAATAAAGAGCTAAAAGGTGACCTTTCTCATACAAAAAAAAGAACAAATCTTTTGATGAATATTGTCTGTATATTGCTTTCACATATTTCAAAAAAGTGGATAGATAAGAGTGAAAGAAAGAGTGTTATTATTCTTTTTTTTTTATTCAAAATTTTAGGGATTCATCGTCTACGTTAATATTATGTATATTGTTTCCTTTCCACTAACTCTAATATTATTTATTTTTGTATCTATCTCTAAAATAACAAAGTAATTTCTTAAGACAGAAATACCCTCATATATTTAAAATAGTTTCTCTCCCTAAAATTTTGAAATTTCAGAAGGAGAAACTATTTCAAAAAAAATAGAGAGAGAAACTATCACAAAATTCAAATTTTTAAAAGAAAAACTATCTCAAATTACAAATTATATCAAATTTATATTCTGTTAGAGAGAATATAAATTCATTTTTAAACTTCAAATTCATTTTTTTCTTATGTCAATGCATCTTGATGTCGAGATGATCAATTTGAACATCAAAACAACCTCTTCTAGTGAAATTTTTAAGGTAGGCTCTAACTTGATTGTTTAGAGATACTCATTCTAAGACAATTACTTTCTTACTTGGGGATTTGATGTAAAAGTCAATGGCAATATAATCACTGGAATTAGGGGTGTCTTTAGAGCATAGTTAGCAATTCAGTGATTTAATCGTGATTTTTAAAAAAAATCTGCACTTTTTGAAAAATGATTTAATCTGCGATGTTTTCAATAGGTCTGTAAAAATACATGATCATCAGGAAGAAGTTTAAAATGCGACTTTTTCAAAATTTGAAAAAATCATTTCAAAAATTATTTCCTATTAATATACTCTTATTGTTTTTTCTTTGGAAAGTTCAATATCTATTTCTTGTTTTATGAAATTTCTACTTCTATTTTTATTTCTATTCTCCCGAAACTTTTTCTGGTTCTCTGCTATGGATATGGTGCGTATTTTTTCAGGTGGTTATTGGTAGACTATAGTTAGCAAGTATGGGATAGACAATTTCTTTTTAGAAAGATGAAAATTGAATTCACCTACCCAGTACTTAGCTTGACGAATAGAATAGATAATCATCTTATGACTTAGAGATATTTCACATTGAATATTTGAAATTTATATTTATAGGGAGGTCATTTTTTTACTGAGTGATATATATATATAGAGTGAAAGCATTACTCCTCACTACTATTAATTTTTTTATACTGAGTGATATATATATTTAGAGTTTTAAAATATCTAATATTTTAAATATATCCGATTTTTTGACTTCGATTTTTTGAGCCTAGACCGATATATTCGCAATCTCTTTACATGAAGTATTTTTGCCGATCCATATTTTTTTTACCAGATTTTTTATCCGACTTTTTAAAATAAAAACGATTAATTTTTTATTTCATAGATTTATTGATAATCCCCAACTTACTAACCATGCTTTAGAGAACATTGGATGGACATGCCTACAAAGTATAATGCGAAGGCTATGAATAATTTTCCCGAGAAAAAGTGTTTTATGAGTAAGCAGGTGCAGGAGCCAGCTAACTCTTCAGCATCCATCCTTAAGATGGACATTGTGTAAAACACACATGTTCACATCATACATGAGGGGCACCAAAAACATCCTAAACAAGAACACATTTTAAATTTCAAAAAAAATATATTTATGATAAGTTTGGCTTAGACAATAAATTCCTAAAGTTTTAGATCAAAAATTAAGTTTTAAAGTGAATTTTAGAGGGGCCTGCACGTGTACATATGAGTCCACTGACTCATAGAAACCCATCCTTTCCAACATTTTAGTTAAAAATAGAGCACAATACAAAAAGTGCGCTGTTTGTATAGAGCCAAAGCTCTAAACAACCAAAGTACAGGGTACTTTCAAATATTGTAGAGAAATGTAGTGTTAATACTAAAAAATTTTGTGATAGTCTTAAAATATATTTTTATCTTTAATTGTAAAATTTAAATCTTAAAAAATAGTGTAGGTCGAGTGTATCTACGAAAACTTGATAATCTTGAAAATTGACGGTCAAAAAATGCTTTACAAGATGCATCATTTTCAAAACTTGAAATCCATTTTTTTTCTCATGTCCGTGCATATTGATGTGGATATGATCAATTTGAGGACATTTGAGCATCAAGACAACCTTTTTTAGTGAATTTTTTTATGTAGGCTTTAATTTGATTGTTTAGAGCCTCGGCCTATATAAACTTTTTTCTTATTAAAATATTGTCAACATTTACCGTATTGTTGTATAAAAAAAAAAATTAAGCTTATAGTCATATGGTATATGATGGTTAAAAATAAAAATAAATATTAAGCTCATAGTCACATGAATGGTAGTAATGGATCCGACCAAATCCGACAAGTAGATCCAACAAGTCAGGATACAGGTCCAAATTTGGATTTGAATACTATTTGGGCCGAGTCCAGCTGGAGTCCAGACCTAACCCGTTGAGGATAAATTCCTAAATTTTTTTGATAAAAAATCCATCTTTAAAGGGAGTTTTTTAGGGGGCTGCACGTGTATATATGAGTCCGCTGACTGATAGAATTCCGTGCATTTCGCAACTTTTAGTTTAGAATGGAGTACAGTAGAATGGAAAATAAATTTTATTCGTTTATTATGTGTGTCACATGCATGGAGTGGAGACGCATCAGACTCTGTACTAGCGATAAGGCTGCGACGCGTATATAGTCGCCACTTACACGCCAACCCCTCATCTCTTCCTCTCTCTCTCTCTCAACTTCTTAACTCTCTATCTTTCCATTTCTCTACTTTCTCTCTCTAAGATCTCTCTCTCTCCAGTCGAACGCCTGCCCACGCCACGATAAAAGCTCTCTCTCTCTCTCTTTTTCTCCAACCCCATTCTCTGCATAAGCTCCCTTTTCCTGAATTCTCAGTCATCGATTGTGGTCACATGCTTGCAAGGAAGGATCCTTTCTTCGATCTGTAATTTGTACTCCCCCTGCACGGCACCAGTGATTTTTCCCACCCCTCTGTTATACTCTCTCTCTCTCTCTCTCTCTCTCTCTCTCTCTCTCTTCTCTCTCGTCGTCTACGTACGTACGTACGTACGTACGTACGTACGTACGTACGTACGTAACGTTACGTTACTACGTACTACGTACGTACGTACGTACTAC